CCTATTTCACGGACGCCCTCCTCTTGATATCACGGGCGAGCTGGTGGTAGCACGGGACGGGTTTTTCCCGTACAACGTTAGGAGCCTACAGGCGATAGTTCCAACGTTCGTAGTAGAGGGCGACTTTGGATGGCAGTAGGAGGGCCTTTAGCGGGCTAACCAATTCAGGACAGGGCTAAGAGAACTAGCAAGGAGGACGGAGATAGACGCTCGGAGACTCTTGAGGGGTGTTGATCAGGAGACATTGGCTAGGTTTGGGACTGCGATCTGTCTCAAGGATAGAGGTCCTTTCACGGGTGTACTGCAGATCCGGAGAGGCATGGCCTTGTTGGCCAATCCCGAAGGAGAGGTTTACTTAGACACAGGGATTCTTGGGATAGAGGGAGAGCACTAGATCCGCGACCGGTACGGGATACTGAAAGTGGTAATCAAGGCAGTCGAGAGCTAAGATTGGAGGCGGACGCGAGCCGTGACAAGGAAACAGGTCCGGGCTGCCGCAACTGTCACAGGTCCGGGCTGCAGCGACTGTCATAGGGTYGGGCTGTAACAGTTGGCTAGAATACCTAACTGCGTCTTCTGGCGGTCCAATGGAACCCGACACGATGGGGCCACAACCGACCACGGGCGAAGCGGGAGAGGAGTACAGGACATCGCCCGATCGAGCTCTGAGGGATCTGAAGGAACGAATTAGGCGAAAAGCACCGCTGAGATGGGCTGACCAAACCAATGACAGAGGGTCCGACGTAAGGGGCGAACCAGTTGCGACAGAGCCGCAGGAGGCTCTAAAGACGGGTACCTCGAGCGGACGACGAGAAGCGACGAGGCGATGCTCCCCCGAGTACGAGCGGAGGGACACCATAGCGGACAGGCACAAAGACGAATGGAGAGAGAGTTTGAGGGATTCCTATTGGAGGGACAGAGATAGAGACAGGGCGCCGCCCAGACGAGTCTTCGACCCCCAGACAGGGGAGTCACATCCGCTCCCTTACAAGGGCAAGGATCGCTATATTATTACGCACAAGGCCTCAGAGCCTCCTACCTTCAGGGGCTATGGTATCACAGAATATTGAGAGAAGTGGGAGCTTCACGCCAGCCGGAGTCAGTGGTCGGAGGAAGAGATTATAAAGAACTTCCTATTTAATGTGGACCCAAGTCTCGGTAGGGAAGTTAAGGAAGTTCGACTGAAGGATGGGAAATGGACTACGTACAAGAAGAACCTCGTTGAGCTTTACAAATTGGAGGATAACAAGTATTCCATCAAGGACCTTGAAACAATGACTCAAGATGAAGATGAGAGCGTACGGGCATTTGAGATGCGTTTCCAGAAGATCTCCGACGTGCTGATGAAGAAGGGGAAGATCTCAGAGGTCGAGCGCTGTACTATCTTCATCGGACACTTGTCCAAAGGTAGACAAAAGAGTATACTTAGAGATCTTCCGCGCGACAGGCTTGATTTCCCAGAAGTCCTAAAGCTCGCGATAAAGGCAGAGACAGACGATTGCAAGGACTTGGTGTGGAGAGGGATGAGGAGACGTGACTTCTCTCTCTACAAGGAATATGCCATTGATAGATGTCCTGATTTCAAGGACTATCCCTGGTCGGAGAAGAATGAGGCCGTCGCTGAGGAAGTGAAGGAGATACAGGATATGGTGAAGGGATTGACGAGACAGAATACAGAGATTGTGACCACTACAGGGCCCACGGCCTACCGGGACAAGCCTGGAGGGCCCTATTCACTTCGTTGGGACCGTAGGAACAACGATTCCTAGAGGAGTGTCGAGGATAGAAATCCTCGGACGCTGACTGATTATCGTACGAGGGGAAGAGAGAGAGACGATGAGCCATGGCGACGTAGGGATGATGAGATAGACCGAGACCACAGAGATCGTGAGCCGTTTGCGCGAGCAAGGAGGCTGGATGATTACCTGCGAAGGCCTCGCTATGAGGCCGATCGGGGTAGAGGCGACTCCCGCGGCCGATGGGAGACAGATCAGGGCTGACGGGATGGATATAGGGACGACAGATACGAGAGATCGGACCGAGATGGATATAGGGACGACAGATACGARAGATCGGACCGAGACGGATATAGGGACGACAGATACGAGAGGTCGGGTCGAGATGGCTACAGAGGTGGTAGGTATGAAAGAGAAGATCGGGACTGGGAACGACGAGATGGGTCGCGCGAACGGTTTGAGCGCGGGGGAGATGCGAGAGAGCAGCGCGACGAGTCGCGGGGGTGGTACAACCGAGGGGACCGACGCGATGAGTCACGAGGGCGATATGACTCGGGGGACCGTCAGAATGATTCGCGAGGGCGGTATGAGCAAGGAGGGTCTGGATGAGACCGCCGCAACGATTCGCGCGGTCGGAATGAGAGAGGGGGATATGGCGTCTCATCAGAACCATATCCCAAGTCGCCTGACCCCAAGGCAGCCAGGAGTTCGATCTCTAGAAGCGCAGACGACAGGCCATCTACTCCCAGGAACTCATGCGTCTACTGTAGAGGAGAAGATCATATCAAGAGGGATTGCCCGGACCTCAAACGGGCAATAGATCAGGGACTTGTCGTGCTTGACGACCGCAAGTACGTCAAGTGGGCAGATGGTCT